GGCAGTGTTCCCAGATAGGCTGGATAAAGCCTTGAGTAACCTGGTCTAGTGGGAGATGTCCCTGCCCATGGCAGGGGAGGTTGGGATTAGATGATCTTAAAGGGCCATCCCAACCCCTTAACAGTCTATTATTTTAAGTAACAGTGGGTCTGTCTATCCAGAACACATATCTAAAAATAGCATGAATAAGTGACAAGTTCATAAAATCTGGATTTATTAATTTTTATGACAAGATAAATTCTTCACAAATGACAGACAGATTTGACAGTGTTCAGTCTGTAATATATTAGATTCAAAATGACATATTTTAAAAAATATTTTCTGTATACAAGGAAAATCCCAACAGAATTTACAAAGCCACTGTATTTCACATCTATAGGACCTGAGATTGTTATAAATCTTATAGGAAATTTGTTATTACAAGTAAAATAAAAACTACACAAATGGTTTACAATTTTAATCTCAAATCTCTTTTTTTTTCTTTAAATAAATTCTTAAAATAGATGCATTATTTAAAATCACTACCACGAGGCATGTGGTGTTCAGTGGATGACATGAATTCTGTAACCCAAACAAGAAGACTAATCCACTCTGAGTAGCTAAATTAATTTTTTGCAGTATTTACATACTTTACTGAAGTATTTTCATCCCAGAGTCTCAGCAAGCATCTTAGAATATTAATGAGAGAAGCCTGGCAGCATGCCAGAGTTAAAAAGTAAGACAGTAACATCATTCCCATTTTTTCAACAGGGAAACTGAGGCACCAGGTGTATTCAGGCAATTGCAGAAAGAAAAATCCTAATCTTAATTCTGTTAGCTGCATCTTGATGGAGAGACTGTTCTTCCTCCTTGTTACATGGCTGGTGACCGTGCTGGGCACTGTTTGAAACCCGGTCAGTTGCTTTTTTTCATGCTTAGATTGCTGCAAAATAGGTGCCATCTATCCAGCTGTGGTGTCATCACGAACACCTTTACTAAAAGAAAAGCCATTAATGATTTTCCTCTTCAAATTGAAAACCAGCAACAGCAAAAAGTGCATCTTCAATCCCTCTAAAGCCTCTGGAAGGCTGTCTTGTCCTACCCAAAATACTGCAATTGTTCCCTCAATCAGCACAGAAACAAATACTGAAAATGGTAACTCTGAAAGACAGAATTCCCTATTTATTATTAAAAAAAAAAAAAAAAAAGTTAAATTTTTGGGTATTGTGAACATTCTTTGGTCAATTAAGTATTTGAAAGAAGTTAGTTGTGAGATTCTCAACCAGGATGTGAACTTTAGAAAACATGAAGTGTTTCACATGGTCCATAATCCCCAGGATTTTACTTCCTATCACAGCAAAATATTATACCACATCAATAAAGGTCATTTGAAAAGACCTTTAAAAATAACTTGTCAATAATGTTTGCTAAACGACTAAAAGAAATAAAAACTTGATGCAGATCTGAGATGACATGAATTCACAAATTAAGAAAACCCTAAAAAGCCAGGACTTCAACTCTGGATAGAAGCATCCACCACAAGCATCCAGCATCCATCCAGCAATTTTTAAGGCTATTATGGAGCGTGCATAATTTAGTCACAGGTATCTCACTGTTTACGTTTTGGCAAATAAAACATCTTCATGTGGGAATAAAGTCATGGGCTGTTGTTGTCTCACAGCAGCAGGAGCAGGCCAGGCAGCAGAGGACAAGACAGCTGGGAGCACAAGTAGCCCAGCATCCTGGGGCATGACACAACCACTCTTGTCCATGGTGTCCAGTGAGATTCTGGCTGGCACCAGTTTCCTGGAAGGTGTCTGACCCCAGAAGCAGCACCCCCAACTCACCACTGGAAAAAGGCTTTATACATGCTACAGCATTGTAAAATAAGCAAATAGAGCCTCACTTTCTTCAGGGAGGTACATGGGCATAAATGTGCTGCTTCTGTGGTTACTGAGGCACCCTCTGCCCTGGTATCTGGGCTGGCTGAGAAACTGGTCCAATAAATTTCTCCCTGAGGACCTGACCCAAAAGTGGCAAACCTCCCTCTGCAGCACAATCACAAATACAACACAGTGATTTAGGCAACTTTTCCTGTTTTCAGCCTCAAAACACTACTGGAATCTTCCCCATTTATTTTCCTTGATTACTGCTGGTATCTACCAGGGACTCCCAACAGACAAATTCCATGCTGGCCAAGGAAAGACAAGCACTATGGTTTTATTTAGCAATGTGTTCTGGACGCAATGCTGGCTCTGGAAGCTTTTCGGAACTTCCCTCCTGTGTTTTCACAGATCTCATCTATATCCTTAGAGGCTTTCAATGGTACATCAGTCCCACTGCACTTCTAAACACCTGGGGTATCTGAGTTACTTCCAAAAACCTGGGGTATCTGAATTGGGGTTTGTGCATTCAGACTTCAGAAAAGCCTCAAATACCAACGGCAAAGCAGCAGCAGTTTGAACACAAACAGGGACTCTGTGGTTAAAGGAGCTTCATCATCACCCACATGGTGGAGAAACACCTCACTTCCCAGGCCTGTCCCTGTGGGAATGAAGAACCTGCCAGGACCTCCTCTCCCACATGTCCCACACATGTCATCTGTGTTCTGCAGGATTACACACCTGTAGCACCTGAGAAGGACATACAGGCTAAACATATAAACAGTTTTTAAAAGAATGTAAATAAATATCTATATGCAAAGTGCCTTAGGTTATCTACCACCATCTCCCATTTTTGGAAAACACATTCTGGTTCAAGGCAGGAAGCACTTGAATGCTACTCAAAAGAAGTCAAGGCTGAAGCTTCAGGAGAGTTATCAGCACAGTCCCAGGCTGATAGGTATAGAGTGCCACATATAAATACAGAGCCACATATAAATACAGAAACACACACAGTTAAATGATATATATTAGTTTTATCTAGATTTATATATACATGTATAAATTAAATATACATATGTGTTTGTATATACAGACACATGCATGAGTGTCAATAGTCCCTAGGTTGAGAAACCTAATCCGAATCTCTGAAAACATACACCAATTATTTGGATATTCTTAAGTATAAGCAATGTATTTTGATTGGAGTTTTCATAAATATGCATTAAAATTCTCCATGGTAATCACCCTTGTGGGAATAATATTATAGTTCCATGAGCTGTAAACTATAAATATAGGCTTTAAAAATTATGTGAAGAGCAGGTATAACCAGTGTAAGTAACTTCCAGGACAAACAGAAGGGATCAGAACAGAAAACCAGACTTGAGCTTGTGGCTCCCTAACAAAAGTAAGTGCACAGGACCTCTCCAGACCTCCCTGCTGCCCAGAAGGCCCTTTTAGTAGCTTTTTGTAATTGGGATGGGAGACAATTTGGTGACAGAGAAAAAGATCATATTGCAAAATCCAAGACAACCTCTCAAAGTTGGGCACAGTGTGTTATATATCTCCTCCCTAGGAAATGAAGGCAGCCTTCAGTCCATCTACATGTTTTTTTCCTACTCCAAGTTTCTAAATATGCTCTTAGGATTGCTTTATAAAAATACATGATAAGCCAATACACACAACACCATGTTTTGTTTCAGTTAAGATTAAAATCAAGAATGACGCCACTGCATCTTTTAACTAAAGCAGAGTTTCCAGTTACAAAGATGAGGATGGGTGATGTGTCTTGAGGTATCAATTACTATCCTGTCTTTTCCATAAAACACATTCCTATGGTAACAGGATCAATTGCCTGAGTAATACTGAGTACTGCTCCCCCCAGATCAGGGCAGGTGTGTTAGCAGCAGTGGAAGGTTTGGTGTAGAAGAAGCCTAAGAAAATTCAGGGTAGAGACATCATTGGTGTAAAGGCAGTGTATTCAGGCTTGTAAGAACCACTAATTTAGGAAGAATATGAACTTGCACTTATTTGTTACAGCATAGTCTGTCTTATCAAGGTCTCTCTCTTTTCCCATCCATTACTTAGATCTTAATCCTGTGCAGCTTCAAGTACCTTAAAGCTCCTCCTCAGGGTTCTCTCTTGGTTAAAACCATTAGCTTTCAATGAACCAGACTGAGCAACAGTCTGATTAAAAAAAACTCCTAGAGCATGAATGTCAACACATAGCTAGAATCAGAGAATAATAAAAAAAAGCAAAACAGAACACACTACAGAAGAATTCCAAGAGTCTGACATGGACAATATCAGGAGTTTCTTAAAGAAAGCATTTGATTTTTCTTTTGTGCAAGCAGCATTGTACCTGACAGAAGAAGTGCATAAACAATGAAGTGCCAACTTCATGTGACATCATAAAATGCCTCTGCATAGCCCATCAACGTTTTCTGTACACCAATCCTCCAGAAAAATTCTAAACCCATTAAATTTCCTGAACCGCAAAGTTATATTTTAGAGAATCATTAATGTTGGAAAAAAACTCCAAGATCAAGTCCAACTTTTGTCCAAACATCACCCTATCAAATAAACCATAGCATTAAGTGCCATGTCCAGCAATTTCTTTAGCAATTCCAGGGATGTTGACTCCACCACCTCCCTGGGCAGCCTGTTCCAGTACTGGACAATGCTTTCAATGAAGAAATTCTTCCTCATGTCCAACCTGAATCTCCCCTGGAGCAGCTTGAGGCTGCTCCTCTCATCCTGTCACTGGCTGCCTGGGAGAAGAGTCCAATCCTCACCTCATTACAGCCTCCATTCAGGGAGTTGTAGAGAGCAGTAAGGACCACCCCCCCGAGCCTCCTTTCTCCAGGCTAAACACCCCCAGCTCCTTCAGCCACTCCTCACAGGATTTGTTCACCAGAACCTTCACCAGCTTCACTGCCCTTCTCTGGACTCACTCCAGCCCCTCAATGTCCTTCTTGTAGTGGAGGGCCCAGACTGAACACAGGATTCGAGGCATGGCCTCACCAGTGTGGGTACTGGGGGACAATCCCTGCCCTGGTGCTGATACAGGCCAGGATGCCATTGGCCTTCTTGGCCACCTGGGCACAGCTGGCTCATGTTCTGTTGACCAGCACCTCCAGGTCCTTTTCCCCTGAGCAGCTTTCCAGCCACTCTGCTGCAGCCTGTAGGGCTGCCTGGGGTTATTGTGACCCAAGTACAGGACCTGGCATTTGGCCTTGTAGAACCTCACACAACTGGCCTCAGCCCATTGATCCAGCCTGTCCAGATCCCTCTGCAGAGCCTTCCTACCCTCCTGCAGATCAACACTCCCACCCAACTCGGCATATCTGTGAACTTTCTGAGTGCACACTTTGATCCCCTTGTCCATACCATGGATAAAGATATTGAAGAGGGCTGGCCCCAATACTGAGCCCTAGGGAACCCCACTGGTGACCAGCCATCAGCTGGATGTAATTCCATTCACCACCACTGTATGGACCCGGACATCCAGACAGGTAAGAACAAATGAAGACAAAATTTCACATATCCACACACTGGTGGTACAGAAAAATAACTGATGAGACCTCATGTCTTAAACTCAAAAAACTACTGATGAAAGAAAACATGGTCCAGATGATAAAGTGCAATTATTATTCAAGTTGTGCTAAAAAGTTTTCCAGTTCTTTTCCGAAGCTTTTCCAACTTTTCTTCTTGGTGATTTCATGCTGTAATTGTACTTCTTGGTGATTTCATTCAACTTTTAATTGTTTTTTTGCTTCTGTCCCCATCATTCCAGTACTGTTCAGTTTGCATTTCTGTGAGCCGTGAAAGAGTACGCTGAAAGGCAAAGACTTCCTCTTCTCCTGTAAACATGGAGAGTCCTTTGGCAGAATCCTACATCAGTACACAAAAACAGCATCACACCTGTGAGACTCATGGCTGTACTGAAGTGCATACTGATAACTCCTAAAGCTCAGTGCTTTACAGGCTTTGACAAAACAAGTCAGCAGCATGGCACCAAAAAACTAAAACTAATGCCCAAAAATTAAAGAAAAGCACCTATTTCAGCTATATTCCCCTGAAGGGAAAATATAGCAAATATATTTGCTATATTCCCCTGAAGGAATATAGGAAAAAGAATAATTTGGTTTTAAAACAACACAGTAACAGGTTAACCATCTATTTTCCCTTTTTTGTTGACTAATTGTATATTAATTTGAAGAAATTATTTTAAAAGTCATTAGCAATAACTGAGCTACAGGGAAAAAGAAAAACAGAATAAGCAACATGCAAAGTAGTACTGTTTGTGAGGACTTGTAAGGCTGTTCTGTAGTCTAGGAAGAGGTAGAACAAACCATCTTTTATTTCTGTATTTTAAATGTAGGCGCTAAACTTAAATCAGCATTTTCATATGACTGAATAGATACAATGATTAATATTCAAAATGACCCTAAAACTTAAATAAAATGGTTCTACATATAGTGACATTTTCTTTGACTATGAATAAGTAGCACAACATGTAATTATCAGAGTAACATGGACACTGCAAAAAAGGCTGCAAATCATTAGTTAAATGTTTTCTTGATTCCCCCTCCTAAAATACTGCTGCAATTATGACACTAAACCAAATTTTGTTACAGAAGGGAGATGATGTTAAAAGCATGTACCTGGCTCAAGTCCAAATCATCCATCAACACTCTGTTGTCCTGCAGTTCACTGCTGCCATGTTCCACCAGGAACAAGCTTTGGAGAGGAGCTGCCGCAGAACAGATAATGCGCACCTGAAACGAGGAGAACAGGCAACAACATCATCACTTGGGCTTTATGGGATCAAACACATGACCTATGCACAGCAAATTTCAAGTTAAAACGTCAGTGTTTTTACCCCAGTGTTTTTCCTTTCTCTTATTAGCGCTGCTCTTATAAATTTACCTTAGTCAGATGGACTATTATCCTTACAGGATCTTTTTCTTGGTAACAACTGATGTAACTTCTATTCAGAGAACAGAACTGTGCTATCAAATGCTCAGAATATCTGCTACACAGGCAATGAGTTCACCAAAAAGTCTAATTTCTAAAATATCAGCTGTATAGTAAGCAATGCTTACTTTTCACCCTGAGAGTCCTCTTAATGGGTAGATGCACTACACTATTTAAAGAATACTTAAATTCCAAATATCCCAGAAGGCTGAGTGAAGCCTTTCTTGCCTCCATCTGTGCTACTCCAGTAAGTTATTTGCTAGTAAAAATAACTATGCTGTTTTCATGTCTGCTGGGAGGAGATACACTGTGCAGTGAGAGATACAGCTGCAATGAAGACAGACTGAAATCATACTACAGAAGGAGACTCTTGTTGAGAGCATGCAGGCAAGATGTTTGCGTTGTGGGCAGACGTCCACAAATATGCTCAGGTGTTTTTCCCAACTACTTTTGATGGGAGTTTAACACTTGCATTTTTCCTATGGAGGAAGTAATAGAAAGTGACTGCTTACAATTCTTAGTGGTGGCACAAACACAGAGCAGACCATCCTCCTATTTCTAACACATTAGTTTAATATTAGCATATTAATGTTAGCATATATTTGTCTTAGCAAATGTCCACTTCCAAACCATGAAGCATAAAGAATCTGGCTAATTTGAATGACACTGATTTGAATATGGCTGATTTGAATGTGACTATTCATACAGTGAGTTAGTTCAATACCTCATTGAGTTGGGGCCTTTCTGATCAACAACCCATGCCAGAACATTCTTGATAAGAACCAACCTCAACTGACACTTCCCAACTGCATAAATGTTTAAGTGTGTGCAAATATAATCACATATAAGATAGTGTTTCAAATCTTGCATCACTTTAAAAAACAATCAACTTAAACAGGAACTTCGCTTTTAGTTACGCTGATTTTGCTTCCATGCTTGAAATCTCTGTAAATCCACATGAAGTGCTGCATTTATCATTATTATTCCATGAGCAATTCTGCAATCTAATGTAAAGCCTACAGTGACTGTTTTCTTTAAACTTTATGATGCAATTGTGCTATTAACTCCTCCTTCCTGATCAAAAAAAGCACTGATTCCTGACCAACTGCCCCTACAGATTAAAATCTAAAAATCTCCATTTCACTCCAGCACAGTTGGCAGCACAGTCTTTCATTAGTAAAATAATGACATGGCTTCTGTTGTTTTCCTGGGTAAGGAAAGAACATCCCCATTCAAGAAAGGCAATTGAGCTCCGGCTTATATTTATGCTTATACTTAATACTCACAGAAACAAAAAAACCCATCTGTTTATTTGCCTTTATTGCAACGGGACCATTTTTTAATTTTTTTTTTTTTTTGTGAAGCTGGAATGATGCTTCTTTGCAGTACTAGTTCATTCTGCTTATATTTTCAAAACCCTTACTACAGAAAGCCTTATTTCAAACCAATAGCAACAGTCAGTTTTAGGACTCCCAATATTGTTCCTAGGCGTATAGGAAAGGCTTGGTTCTCACCTTATGCTCATAAAAGGTATCAATAAGAGTAATGAAACGACGAGTTTGTGTCCTTTTTGCTATTGTAAGAAGTGGTATGTCACGAACAAACACTGTGTCAAAATGCTTTGATATTTCCAAATAGTCGCTGGCTCCAAGAGGCTGAAACAAAACAAACCATAAGCAATGGAAATCCATGATAGAATGACACATAAACACTGTATCTTGACATACTACAGTAACAGAAGAGAGCTGTAAAGTCCTGATCATATTATTATTTTTATTCCTTTGTATTTCGCTTGAGGAATGCTCGATTGTCCTTAGGGACATAGGTACATGTGGGTACCTATACTGTTAACTTTACATGAACAGTGAGAGTTAAAATGTGGCTCTTCTGCACCCAGACATTATGATCTCTCTCTGATAACCTCAAATAAAATAATCACCATAAACCCATAATCCATATAAGACATGTGATTTCAACCTAAAGCATAAATAATTTGAATAGCTATTACGATGCTTTCCAGCAGCAAGATTTTTAAATGCCAATTCATAGGCTAGTAATTAAATCCTAAGTAGACCTGCATTTAAATCACCCAGGACTAACCCAGACTGAATATCTTACGTTTTAAGTATGGAAAACAAGAGGAAACAGACAAAAATACAATTTTGCAGCAGTTCCTTTGTTCATGGTTTCTCCTGTAATGATGAAATAAAAATCTTCACGAACTTATTAGTGTCTCTTTCTGTATCTAAACCATCAACAGAAAATATACACAAATAGTAGTAGCTCATTCAAGTACATTCTACTAAAATTACTTTTTCATTACAAGGAAGGTATTTTTTCCTGCAAGATCTATCCTATCAGTACCACAGACAGTACTTTATCATGAGCTATCGAAATTTGTACTCCTGTACTTGTTCCATCAGTTTACTTGTGCAAATACTTCTGAATCTTGTCTGCAGCTACTGCGGAGAACAAGTTCAGCAGCACTTTCTGTGGTCACAACTCCCTTCCCAGTTAATAATATGTACCATGTGCTGTACAAAGCATAACACTGTTATAAAGCACTGCTATACTGCTATTACCTTAAAACCAGTAAATAGAAAATATTTTCTCTAACTGAAATTGCGAGACTAATTTTTTGTAAGCCACACAACTTCTTAACTAGAACCCTTCTGCAAGAAGTTATTTTAAGCAGTTATTAATAGCTGCCCATGAAGAGGACTTTGGGGTTTTTTTAGATGCTAGAATAAAAAAACTTGTAGAAATGGTCTCTGCATAAGCATAGGAGAGAGAAGCCCTGATGGCATTCCAAATATTCTTCTGAAAATTAATGGGAATAAGCTAACCTTCTAGGTGGGTATTAGAGCCTGTCACTCTCCATCAGCTCTCCCACTTGCAGTCTCATGAATCACCCTGCTTTCCCATTCCCAAGCACACAACTTCCCTGTAGCATCCATGGAAAAGAATTATTACAAAAACTTTCAATTCTTTTGAGCAGTGTTTAAGAGTAGTACATGCTATATTCTCCCCTTAGAATTATATTTAATGCTTATTTTCTTCCTCCATTTCAGTCTCCTAGTTACTACTATGGACTTAGTCCATAAAACCAAAAACTCATCATTATGAGGGCCACCAGCAAAGCTTCATGCAACACCACTGTAAAAAAACAAACTCCTATCTGGATAAACCAGAGTAGCTGAACTCAAGATGTTTTGATTAAATAAAACAGGAAAAGGTTCAAGAAAGCAAAAGGAACTGATGGCTGGAAACAACACCAAACTAACCCACTGGACACCTTGCCACCAGATACAAGTGATCTGGACTGCCAGAGTATCAAGTACAAAGGAAAACAATGGGAGCACTAAAAGCAACACAACCAGGATGCTGCTGAGATTTTAAGATTAGTGATAAGCAAATAGTTTAGGTAAGGGTAATTTTATTCCATACTTAGGACTGGAGTACTGTTAAACACAGAGATCAAGTGTGCTTGTGTGATGAGTACCTGCGAGGGAGAACAGCGATGATCTCATTGTACACGAGAAAGGTGAGAATTTCTCATGTCTCCCCTTAGATAAGAAATTACAGACATCACTGCTATGCTGATTTATTCTTTTATCACATGAAGAGCCCAAGCAGTCTTCTGCCAAAACCCAAAACCCCGAGGAATTATTCTGCCCTACCCCAATGTGACACACTTTCTCACACAAACCATACCAATAAACCCTCCTCTTCTCAAATGATCAGATATTAAAAGCTGATTCCTAAAATAAATAAAGACATAACTAAAAGTTGAAGTATCCAAACTTTTGCAAAGTATGCAAACTGAAGTGCCCAACTAATGAGCTATACAGCTAAGAATTCGGTGGGTACCTTGTTTGGTAGATATCCAAACAGGAGAATAAAAAAAACTGGGTAGTCAGAAGGAAGAAACAGGTGGAAGATAAAAATAAGTCTAATGCATTTCAAATGTGAAGAATGGAAGATGTAATACTTATACTGCTTTTCATACACACATAAAACCATGGTTCATAGAAGGTTTCAATATGCATCTTTATCAGTCAAACAGGAATTCAATCTACTTCAGCAGTGCAACAAGCAAGCAATTAAAGAATTCCTCTAATTAAGCGCATAAAAGGCAGATCATTTCAAGCTTCAACAAGAACTTCTGAAACATCTACACCAACACCAAGTGATAATATTCTGTTAATGTTGGCAGAAACATACCTTTGGATAGTCCAAAACCTTACACTAAGAAAGATCTGAGTCTAGCAGCATATGAGCACTTTGAGTATATTTAGTAACTCCCTGACAAGACTCAAGTCTAGTGAGACATAACTGAAATGCCGAGTCAGCCATTCTGCTGTTACATACGGCTCAGCCAATAGGAGCTGTAGTCCCTTACATAGAGGAGTTCTCAAAACTCCCTGCTTTTGGAGCTTAGAGATGAAAGACAAAGTTTTTAATCTTGTTTCTAACATGACTTACTCTCATCTTGGGAAGTCCTCTAATTTCCTTCTGTCTTAGTATAAAAAGTGGGACCACCAGCAAATTTGCAAATGCTCTGGTGACAGATTAAAGCCCCTTGTTGTATGCCTCTGACCTTGCTATTGGCCCAGTTTCCATGTTCCCTGTAATTGCTTCAGAGCTGGTCTAACCCACCAGCTAACTCAAAATACTCCAAATGCAAGACACCGTGCAGGGGCACCCTGACAACTTCTCAACTCACATTCTCACTGGCCTGCTGCCCCCCAAACCTGGCATGAGGCTGGCACAAGCACCCACGTACCACCTCTGCCACACGGAAACAGAGATGGGGAAATGAGTTCAAGGCCAGATTGCTAGAGGCTCTGCCTGTACAGTCCATACACAGAAATTCCACCGAGGAGCAGATTTCTGCTGTTCCAGCAGCCCACAGCCCTCTCCTCAGCCTCACAGCACTGCCTTACTGCCTTCAGGCCCTTTTTCCCTCACCTTGCAGTGAGCACTGGCTGTTTCCCAACTGCCAGCAACACCAGCTCAGACTAGGTAACAAGACTAGAGGCACATGACTTTAGGCACATAGCACTGTCCTCTGCATAACCCTCCAGGGCTGAAATTTATTTTGGGAATCTCAACCAATCTCAGAGAGTATTTCTGCTAGCAGCATACATGAAGGTATTTCTTCCTCTGCAGTTGCTAATGAAGCCACAAATCCTCCTAATATTGATACATTTATATGTAATCCTCTTACCAAAAGTTTAGCCTGATTAATCTCATCCTATGAATAACATTGTAAAAGCAACTTCATTTGGTGTATGCTTCTGGTATTGTCCGACCTCTTGTTTCATTGATTATTGATCAAAACTCAACTGCAGAACAGTAAGACATTTATGTAATGACTGTCACCATTTGTTACCATTTTTTTCACATGCTATAATATTATTTAAAAAACTCAAAACATTAACAGATAAGAATCTTATGGTATCATTGTTCCTGCATGTGTATATACTGTAAAGCTGTTGTGGATTTTTGTCATTAGCTCTGATGCCAAGAGTCAGTATTTTACAGGCTAATGCAAAATGCATTAGCACTGACATGGGCTACGCTCCTGACAAAGTGTTTACTCCACTTCAACCTGCTTGACTGAGTTCTCACCTTCATTTGTTTTTGTTTCTCTGTCTACTTAATGCATTTTCAGCTATCATCATCTCAGTTCAAGTAGGATGTTTATTATTTGGAGCTCTCTGTGGGCTGTTCCAGAGTTAGCTGTCTCCTCTTTCTATTATAGAGTCCATTTAATTATACTATAAGGCATCTTTTTTTCTTTGTTGACTCATCAGTGGCCCAGTATATCACCTTTCAGAGATTGTCTGAAGAATACAGAATGTTTTACATATGATAGAAAAGGATATGTCATCTCATAAAAATATGTATTTTTTGTTGACGTTGCAAGATATTCTAGGGCCAGTTCCAGCCAATCCCAAAGACTCATGATTGACAGCAACTATAGTTTTGTGCAGACACTCTTAACACTCCAAAAATTCCTACAGACAACACCCAGTTTAAGACCGGATAATATTTACAACTTAATCATTAAGTAAAAAAAAAAAAATATAAAGCTCTGTTGTTTCCAAATGAACAACACACTATCACTAGTGAGGCTCATAAAACAGAGCACTGAGATGATGTGTCAAGATCATAATTCCAAGAAAGGAACCAAAAAACCCAAGGCATGATATGTAATGCCACAGCATGCTAAAGTTAAATAAAAATGGGAAGAGGTAGGGCATGACTAACTTGGTAAAAAGTTTAGAGCTACTGATAGCAGTGCAAATCATAGAACCATAGAATAGTTTGGGCTGGAAGATCCCTTAACCATCATCTAGTTCTAACCAGGAGAGCAGGAATCTAAGATCTGTAAACCCTGGAGTGAAAGATGTTTTCTGTGTCAAGCACAGCCCCTTGCTATCTCAGGTTATCTCACCAGAGAATCCTGTTAAGAAGTAATTTTGCTTGTTCTTACAGAAGAAGTTTTTTAGTCACATTTCTCATAGAGAAAAGTTGTTTCAGATCTTTGCTCTTCTGCTTAAGAAGATGATTGCAATTTTCTGTTCTTATATTTATTTATGTATTTATTTGAACAATATGCTTGAAGTTGGCTGAATACTGGAAGCAT